CCTTACGTTACTCCTCAGGTAACACCTCTCCTTCTCTTTGTCCATCACAAGGTTGAGAATGAAACGAACCAGCTCCAGGATGGCTCTCTGATCGACCTGTGTGGAGCAACACTGCTGTGGCGCACCGCGGAAGGGCTTTCACGCACTCCTACTGTCAAGCACCTGGAGGCCCTAAGACAGGAAATAAATGCAGCCAGACCCCAGTGTCCCGTGGGGTTTAACACCTTGGCTTTTCCCAGCATGAAGAGAAAAGATGTAGTAGACGAAAAGCAGCCGTGGGTGTACCTGAACTGTGGCCACGTCCACGGCTATCACAACTGGGGAAACAAAGAGGAGAGAGACGGCAAGGATCGCGAGTGCCCCATGTGCCGTTCAGTGGGTCCCTACGTGCCTCTGTGGCTTGGATGTGAGGCGGGTTTTTATGTGGATGCAGGACCTCCAACTCATGCGTTCAGCCCGTGTGGACACGTGTGCTCAGAAAAGACAACTGCATATTGGTCCCAAATTCCTCTTCCTCATGGTACTCACACTTTCCACGCAGCCTGTCCGTTCTGTGCACATCAGCTGGCTGGTGAGCAAGGCTACATCAGACTCATTTTCCAAGGACCTCTTGACTAACACACGTGTTTCCAAGGACTGCAGTAAACTTGATAAGCTAAGAGATCCCAATTTTTAAACCAACTGTTTTTCATATTCTCTGGGCTTTGCTGGTTTGCATTAAGATGAAGAATTTGGGGTTGTTTTTTGTGGGTTTTTTTTTTTTTTTTCTACAGTGGCTAAATCCCTCTCTATTGAGAAAAGTCTGGAAATGGAAGAAGGGGGGGAGGGGGGAAGAAGAGGGAGCTCTTCTTTTCTGAGTTAATAACTACTTCTGAAGAGGTCAAAGGGGTGTTGTAGAGTGAACTTCGATGCCTTCCGTTTAACGATTTTGAATCACATGCCCACAGTGTTTGAAAGTTGTTTCATTCTTTTTGTATATGGAGGGTAAATAGTTCAAAGAACATTAGTTTACAGCTTGGATGCAAACAATGTAAAATATAACGTGTATATTAACTCTTTTCTATTTATCTTTATTATTGCAAATACGTAGAATGTTTAGAGAGTAGCATGGCCATAGTGTGTTACATCCGGCAATTGGATGTGTAGAGTAGTTCTGGATGGAGAAGAACATGAGATGGAAATGGTAGAAAAATCTTTAAATCTAAAATACTGAGTTCTTAGAGTAGTTAAAATGCTTTTTAAACAAAGCTAATGCAAATGATGATGGCATAAAAGTGTGATTTAACCATGTTGAAAGGTAGTTAAGGAGGACTTCTTGAAATGTCGTTTTGGTAGGTAGGACTGTACTTAAGATCTGGTTAGGAGGAGAAGTATTTACCAGACTCTTCGAATATGCAACTTAGTCTAGATTAAGGATTTTTTTCTCCCTTCATGCTAACACATCTCTTTATTTAGCATTAGTGACGTTTGTGAGGGGTTTTCCAATGTTAAACGTGAACAAACCTGAAAGATGAGGCTCATTTTGTTCCTTGCTATTTCGGGCAGGGGGTGAGGGGAGAGGTGGATGCACATGTGCACGTGTTGGGGGAGCAGGGAGCAATTTGTCAATCAGCCACAGTCCCAGCTTGTGACAGGCTTGTCAGTCAGATACAGGAGCCACAGGCTTCATGTGCTTGCCTTTACCTTGTTATGAGGTGCAAATACTCATCTCGGCCACACGTGGAACAAAGTTGAAGCCTGGTACCCAAGGGATGTGCACCTGCATCCTTGTGCATGCTGTCTCAGTTGGCAGTCTGTTGGGGAGAGCTTGAGCTGGCACTGGACTGGACTCACAGACCTCAGTGTGTGATGCTTTGGTAAGGTCCGCTCACACTGCAGTGGGCTCTAGTAAGTCTCTCTGCTCTCCCTACCCATCCTTTCCCTCTTTCTCCACCAGAGATGGCCAGTGCACTACATCCAGCTTTGCTGCTAACCCACTGTGCTTCATGGCAAATACACAACCTGACCTTTTTAGGATTGAGTTGAGCTTTTTTTTATGGCCAGCTTCACACTTTGTTCTTTTCTCAACATACGTACTGTATAATTGGCAGTAGCAAATTTCTGTACTTTATAGCATAGCTTTACGTTTTCCTTTCGAAGCTGTTCTCAAGTTTTCTTGGTTTAAAGAGAGACCTATGTTGCTTAGATGTCAGGAATTATTTACTTTGACTGTCAATTGTTTCTCCATTTCTAAAAGGAAATTATATATATTGTTTGGTTCACTCAGGAAATGCATGTGTCAGGAAACCTGTATTATAAGTTCAGTTAGCTGTCATGTACAAGTAACTGCTGTTACTCCCTGTCCACAGAAATATAACTGATTTTGACATTTTTCCAGATTATATGCATTAAGTAATGAAACTTATGCAGCAAGAAATCCCTGTATTGTAGTTGTTCTAATCATTTTATTCAAACTATGGTATACTGTAGTTTAATTTTTATTTGCAAATTAATTTATTCAAACTATGTGAGTAAACACTTTTCAAAAACAGAAAATCTGGGATTTGTCTGTTGCTTTGTTTCCAAGAGGTGGGAAAAGTGGCTGGAGATGGCCCTTCTGCTCTCATGCGTCTATTCTGCACGTGTGGATTAAGATCACAGAAAAGCAACTGCAAAGAGCTTGCATGTTCTCCTGGTCGTGGATTTGAATGGCTCCTTTCAGATGTGTCCTGTTTTGTATTTAACTCTGCTTTAATAGAGGCAAGATTGTTGTTCAAAAGATGCAGTTAAATGAGCTCTTCCACCAGTACCTACAAATAATGAAATGTAAGCATAACCTTGAAATGGCTCTTTGAAAACGGCAAGAGCTCTTGGTTCCATCTTCCACGGTATCAGATTGACACATCTTCTCTGGTCCTGATCTTGTTGGCTAAGGGGATATGAAAAAGCAGAAAAGGATGTGAAGCAAGCTACAGAGCAGAATGAATTACATAGAGATGAATTGTGAAAGCAGAGAACAGGATGGTAGCAGGCGTATGCAAAGTGGTGTACTCACCCCGTGTTGGAGGCACAGCTGGATGCTGATGTGGAGCCAACAGCGCATTTGGGCACATGCACACCTGACAAAGAGCGGTTCGTGCCCAACACACAACCACCGTGAAGCCTCTGCCCTATTAAGGTGGTACATTATGCTTTCATTGTACTTCTGTACCCCACCCGGTCAAAAAGACAAGAGAACCCCCCCAGAAGAAGATGCAGTCTTCACAGAACTGGCTGTTTCTCTGGGTAACATACTGAGATAACCCTTCCGAGCCTGCTCCATGCTCTTTGCCTATACATGCTTTTCTTGACCCAAACTGGGCTTGTTAATTCTATTTTTAACAGGGATTCAAATGCCTGAGACACGGAAATCCCACTGTCTAAAGCAGGATAGCAGCAGTCAAGTTGTTTGGGGAACAATTTCCATACAACATGCAAGGTAGCTAGAAGCAGTAACTTTGACTGTGGTTCCCTACTGGAGTTCCCCCTGGGCTTCTATTCTTAAATAAACAATTTAAATAGGAGGTCTTGTACTCTGTAAACTGTAAAATGAATGTCAGATTAAAAGTAAAATGATCCCTTTGACTCAACCAGCTGACTGAGGCGCTCTGAACTCAGAACCTCTGCTTCTGAACAAGTGTGGGAGCTGGGAGAACTGCAAGAGGTTGCACTGTGCTGGCTCTGAGATGATCACAGCTCCACTTGTGTGCAGCTGAAATCAGCCCCTTGAACCTGCAGAAAACCATCCCCAAATGACATCCATGGCCTTAACCTCCTTTCAAAGGTTTGTTTGAATGGAAAGAGGCATCCATGATGGAATAGGATGGATGGGAGATCACCACAGGTATGAGGAGAAGATGAGGGGATGAGATGAGGTGAGGGTAGGCCCTTTTGTAGTGTTAAAGTTCTGTGCAGACCTGCCTCTGGAAATGAGCAGCTATGCTTTCTGCAGTTGGTTTGTGACGGCCGCTCTGTTCTGCGCAGCTCTTTGTGTGATGTGTAAAGCAGGTGATTTAATGAGCTAATTTGCTTTTCAGCTGTAGGAAATTGCCTGGATCTAACACTGGTAAAAGGCAGCAGCTTGGCACAGCACTGGCTAATGAAGCCCTTGCTTCTTTCCCAGAGCAGGAGTGGGGCAGCTTGGTGTGTTGACTCACAGCAGGGCAGGAGCATGTTGATGGGAGGCTGCTGGGGGCTTTCTCTGGGGAGGTTGTGGGTAGCCCAGCACCAACAGAGCCTTCTGTTCCCTTCACTGACTCAGCCACCGGGTCCAAGCCAACACCGTGAGCACACGGTGTAGCTCCGAGATGCGTGGTGCAGGCTGGGGGTGAGGTTTTCTGGTACCATCTGTGCCAGGCTTGTGACACCTGCAAGAATGAGGCTGGTACCCTGAGAGGTTTAACAAGGTGATGAAGTCACCCCAGCAACCCTGCTCTGCTTGAAGGTGCTCTGCAAATCCCACAGTGACCCTGGTGTGGTGTGCTTGGTCTGCTTCTGAAGAGACACTTTCCAGACCTGATGCTAAAAATACATTTCCAGTTTCACAGTCTAAGTCTATCACGATGACTACAGCTGCCTACCTGCACACTGTCTTTCAGCCTGGATTAGGACTGGTTGCTGTTGAGTTACACCAGATTTCCTGGTCCTACTCTTGGCTCGTGTGATCCCTGTTTCCCGTCCTATAAAATCATTGGCAAAGCTTGTCTATTTTTACTTGTAGCACTCAGCTTAAACATAAGGGCTGTGATCATCTTGGAAATGCAGCTTCTGAGGCTGTTTTGTGGCTACAGATCACTTGTACATGCGCTGTTGTGCATCCTGTGAGAAAGACCTGGGAAAGCATCTCTGTGGGAACTGCAGTGATTCCAGTGACTTGTGCCAGCAGCTCTGTGGCAAGTGTGGCCTCTGCATGGGCAGCAGCAAGAGCTGAGGCCCCCGTTTCCTTGCAGAGAACAGCGCTGTGTCAAGCCCTGCTGTTGGATGCGGTATCCCATGGTAACGTACACGGAGCCGGGGAAACACCGATGTGTGCTACTGCATGAAGAACAGCCTGCTTCAGCTGTGCTGGGAGCTGCCAGTTGTTGGTCTGGTCCTGTCTCCCTCCTGAAAGAAAAAGGTGGGACAGGTTTAAAGAGCAGAAGAAAAATGCGTTTATTTCCTCAAGCTGGTGCCCTGTGCAAGCAGCCATACCTAACACAGCCCTGGGGACTGCAGAGCCTGCCGTAGCTTCACATGTGCCTGAGGCTTTACATTTCAGCCATAAGCTCCAGTGCCTGAATCTTTATGAGCTGCCTTGGTTCCCCTGCGAGCTGCTGCACATCCTCCTCCCTCCTGCCCCGGCAGATACGGCCCCTTCCACAGCTGCAGTAAAAGACTTTGTGAAGCAGCCCCCGGGGAGAACCCTGTGTGGGACCAGGTTGGGCCCTGGCTGGGGCTGCATCCCCTGAGGCTGAGCCGGGGAGGAGATGAGCAACCGGAGGCAAAGCGCCAGCTCTGGCAGGCAAGAGCTCCCTGACACTCTTGGTTTGGCTGCTAGCGCTCTCCATCCCTGTCCTGCTGCCCCTCTTGCAGGGCTGGAACGGGAACCAGCACCGGCATCACCCTATTCTCTGGCCTGTGATGCTTGCCTGGCTCTGCTGCTAGGGGTGCACTTGTGGCAGCAGCGAAGGCACCAGCAGATACCCAATTCTGCTGCCCCTGATGAGGGCCCATCGCTATCACGCAGGGGTTGAGACATCTCGCATCCTCTGCGTGGGCACCAGTGACCTTATGGATCAAGCAGAGAAACACTTTCCTGCTGGCAGAGGCATGTCCTTTGTAATTTGGCAGTGCCTGCAATATCGTGATGTTTTCATTTTGAAGGCTTTTGCTGATTTAGTGTCACTAAATGGCTCTGAGGCAGCAGTGAATTATTAATCTGCTTTGACTTCCTTCCTTTACGCTGTCACATACATAACAACAGCTCCGTACTGAGATTGCTACTGGAGATGTGGTGCCTTTCAGAAACATGGTGAGGGTACAGAGTCCTTTGGAGTGATAACTTGTGCCAGGATTGTCTGTTTTATCTCTGCATATTGAAAGCATCTCATTAAAAGGCTTCCCCTCTGCAGCACATGATGGACTCCTAAGGATTCCCCATGAGTGTGCCACACAAAGCATGAGGCACGGAGAGAGCAGATGAGAAGTGCAGTATGCTGTTAACTCACCTGGGGAGGAAGCTTCCTTATACATGTTCTTCACTACTAACACCCAGGATCATCCTGTCTGTTTGTCAACAGCTCATGTTCTTTTGTCCCTTTTGTTTCTGCTTCAGCCCCCCCTAAAAGTTAAATCAGATTCACTTTGCAGCTCATCTGATAGCTTCTCATTCACGTTCATCGTGGTTATGATTACTTTTAAAGTGTTTCTATTGAAATATATGACTTTTAATGCATTGACATCATTCTCCAGTTTAATGTGAGCTGGCCAAGGATAAGGGAAGAGCTTAAGGAGTGGTTTTCCTGGGCATCAGCCCCATGCAGGATGAGTCTTGCTGTAAGCACAGTGTTTCATCTCTGGGCTTTCCCTGGATTAGATCCTCAGCACCTCCCACATCCCAGCTCCCTGGTACCTGTAAAATAACACTTTAATGCAATCACTTTACAAATGGGATCTACCTTCCCTACTCCCTTTGCTTGGCTGCAATTTAGGAGCTGAGTGAACACAAAAGCCTTTAGTGCTTCCATATCCTCTTCTCTCCAAAACAGTATTTTTAGCTGATCCCAGAAGACTTGAAACAAAACAAATGCATGCAGTGATATTCTAAACTTGCCTGGATGCAAGGCTAAAAACTGCAGCTCGCTGTCATGCGCTGTAGGAGAGGAATTGAGTCAACTCCTCCTTTCCAAAAACCCATGCTGCTGTCTTTTTTTTCCCTGCCGTGTGGGAGGAGGAGAGAATTAGTTATTCAGTGGAACGAGGACAATTAAAAGCAAGCGCAGCTTCCAGCGATGCCATCATCTGTTCTGTTAGCCCTGAGCAACACAGAGCCAACCTGGCTTTTTAACTGGCCTCTTTTTGTCTCTCGCTGGCCTGTGCTTCCAGTTGACTCTTTCACGTCTCCATAGGTCTGGGATGCTGGTGTGCCCGCTTTCATTTTGCCTGAAGAGTCGCCCAAAACGTGACTTTAAAGGGGATGAAAGGCTCCAGATTGTGGTGCATTGAGAGGTCTTGCTGTCACTTGCCCAGCTTGCCATTCTGTGGACTGCATGAGGACATGTCCATGGGTCCCACCATGGGATGAGCCTGTGGTGCCATCCTCTACCACTGCTGGAGGAGAAATGTCCGAGATGGGTCACAGGAACACAGGCACATCCCATCTGCTGCCCCTTCCATACAACTGGTGGCCAGGATGGCGAGCCAGGCAGAGCCAGTGCAGGCCCTTCAGAACAAAGCTGCCAGGGCCTCAAGCCATTTAGTCAGCTTGCTTCACTTCAGAAGGGGAGCTACAGCAGGAGGCCTCTGAAATGCCCTATAACAGTGCAGAGCATGGGTACTGGATGCTTTCAACGTGGCTTGAGAAGCAGGGTGAGCAACGCCGGGACCTCAGCTCCGCCGTTGCTCCGGGTGCTCTCAGTGTTAGTCAGTGTTTCTGCCAGCATCACTCTTTATCCCTTGGAAATCTCACCCCGCCTGCTCTCCAGCAGCAGAAGGTGTGTGTGGAAGCGCCTTTGGGCGTCGATGAATCAGTGCTCCTGTCGCTCATGTCGCACTCCTTGGCAACTGCCTGCCAGGGAAAGCCATCGCCAGAGCCGGGGCAAGGGCCTTGCAAAAGGGGACCTCTGGTAGAGCCCGTGCCAGCCCTAAGGGAAAAATCACTCCCTCCCTCAGTCTTTAAAACAACATTGCCAAATGCACTGTATTTATCCAGTGGAGTGGTTTTCATTCTGTGGAATGCTGGGATTAGCGTTCCTCACAACAGCATAAATATATTTATAGACCATGTGTGCCTGCTTTTTGTTATATTTTGATCTTTATAGGCTAATGGTTAATAGAGCCAAGGCTGTGTTTATGTTCCTGCAGTGAAAAATGTGTTGAATGGTATCACGCAAGAGGCTTAGGATCTGCTGGCCCCAAACAGTCTTTCAGAGCGTAATTTAATGGCTAAGTCATAGAATGGTTTGGTTGAGAGGGACCTTAAAGCTCATCTAGTTGCACCCCCTTTGCCATGGGATAAGGTTGCTCAAAGTCCCATCCAACCTGGCCTTGATTCGCACTACAGAAGTATAAAGGTGGGATGTCACAGGTTGTCTTCCCCAGGGCAGAGCAGGGGAAGAGAAGAGCAGCTGTGGGAGTCCCCAGGTTGGGGGTATTTAACCCACCTTTGCTCTCAGTCCTAAATGCTACACAGTGTGTTCTGGGTAGGAGCAGTCTCTGAATTACTTCTCTCATCCCAGCTTGCCACCTGCCAGATCCTTACATCCTAGACTCACAGAATGGATTGGGTTGGAAGGGACCTTCAAAGCTCACCCAGTCCAACCCCCCTGCAGTGAGCAGGGACACCTCCAACCAGATCAGGTTGCCCAGAACCACATCCAGCCTGGCCTTGCATGTCTCCAGGGATGATGCATCCACCACCTCTCTGGGCAACCTGAGCCAGTGTTTCACCACCCTCACTGTAAAGAATTTTCTCTCACATCCAGCCCGAATCTCCCCTCTTTTAGTTTAAAGCCATCACCCCTTGTCCTACCGCAAGAGGCCCTGCTGAAAAGTCTCTCCCCACCTTTCTTATAAGCTGCTTTTAAGAACTGAAAGGCATCCATAAGGTCTCTGTGGAACCTTCTCTTCTCCAGGTTGAACACCCCCAGCTCTCCCAGCCTCTCCTCAGAGGAGAGGTGCTCCATCCTGTACGCATCCAGTCAGCCATCACCTTATGTTTGCTCCCAGAATCTGAGTGGCAGCATGAAGCAGTGCTAGGTCCAAGCACCTCACAGGTGGTTCTGCCCCATCCATGGGCAGCTGTCAGCTAATCCATTTAATAAGGGCTTTTCTGATAGGGGACAGTGCTAATCTTTTACTCACAATGCCTCTCTGTACCAAGACAAACGCCTTACAGAACTCCATTGCGACTGCCTTGTATCTGCCCAACTTGTTATCTTAAAGGAGGAAAGCAGGTTTGCCAGATGTTTTTCTTCAGGAAAAAGCCATGTTGATTTTCATTATGTTATTTTCCTTTACGTGTGAGCACTGATCAGCTTTCTCTTTATTTTGCTCAGTAGGGATGTCAGATGAGTTAGTCTAAAATGATAGTTCTGGCTCTCTTGAGTAGCAGATCTCAGTGTCTCTGGAATTTCCCTACTATTTCAAAGGGAAAAAACCCAACAATGAGAGTTCCCAGGTTCCATCAAAAAACATTTTCACCAATTTTAGATGCGAGCTTCTTTTCATCAGCTCATTTAAAAACACATTGTGGTCATAATGTACTCACAGACCCATGGAAGGTCCTCTCCTGCATTAGTCTGCTCCATGGCAGGGTCGGTTCTGCTCAAATCCTGCTTGCAAGTGTTCATTTCACTTACCCTTTGAAAATCTGCAGTGCTGGAGCTCCACAACTTCTGCAGGCAGCCTGTTCCTCCGTTCAACTATCCTCCTAGTGAGAAATTGCTCATCTTCAACCTAAAGCCCCAGAAGGAAAGCTTATAGTATATTACTGCTTGTTCCCCCCATAGAATGTGGAGTCAATAGTTTTTTCTCCCTCCTTCTAGCAGCCTTTTACATAGTTGAAGGCAATGAGCATATTTCTTCTCATCCTTTTCTTCTCCCTTTGATCTTCATAGGCTGCATTTGCCAGGATGCTGGGGTTCTTCCTTCTGTATCTTGAACACTGCGTTCAACTTCACCGTGTCCTCCCCAAGGCTCTCCACTTGCCAAGTGAAGTGAGAAGGTCCCTGTTGGTGTCCTGAATGCTGTGTGACCTCCAAAGACTCTTCCCCACCTCCTCCACTGGTGAAAAATACCCTTGATGGTTCTTCATTTCTGTATACTTCTACCCATTGGAGGGCATTTCAATTTTGGGTGCCTGAGAGTAGAACATGGAGCAATTTGGCTCTTCTACAGAGTCCTTTCAGGTTTTAACCGCAAGGTGAAGGGGATGATCCACACCAGAACAACCCTACACAAGCGAGTACTAGTGCTGCTGACAGTGTCACTGCTGCACACGGGAGTGGGGCTGTGCACCCATGGGATGGGCATAGAGCAAATTCCACCCGGAAAAACGGGATGGAGATGTTCCCTCCTTACCATGGGCTTCTGTGCTTCTCCGGAGCACCCCCAATTTGCTGCTTTTTGGAGGACAGATCCTGTATTAGGTCCAGTCCTACACAGACCAACAGTCTTAGACAACCAAGCCTCTTCCTTGTGAAACCAGCTCATTAATGAACAAAGCTGGAGCTCATCAACTCCCCCTCTAATAAAGAGCAAGTCAAGACCAAAGACTTTCCTATTGTTTGGGGCTTTTCTTTGTTTTCTCATATCAAAACCCCCAAAACAGCTCAAAGCCAAAGCTGTCGTGTTCAAGCACTTCTGCAGGGTGTGGAAATAAAGATGTTACAACTTTCCGGTACGCCTGTTATCAACCAAGAGCTTCCCCCACCTAACACTGAATGAACTCATCCAACAAATGGACCTGGAAGAAAAAAAGGGAGGAAAGGTGCCTAACAAGCCTTAAACCTCTGACACTCAATTTATTAAAGTTTAATGATGAGCTATTAATAATGAATGGAGCCAGGACGACGGGAGAACTGCAGTATAATGGCCTCAAGATTTGTAGTTAGCCAGATTTCTCTACAGAGCTGGGAAAGAGGAGAGCAGCTTTCACAAGGGATGAAAAGGCTCCTCAGAGGGACACATGTGAGCAGCAGTCTGCAGGCTGGGTAGATTGGTGGAAGAGTATTTTAAGTGTTTCTTTCATTAAAGGCTGAAATGGGGGTGGGTGTTGCACATGTCTTGTAAGGAAAAGATGCTCGTGAATGCCAGGACCTTGAGTATAATGTAGGGAATTTGGGTCGTTTCCTCACCGATGGCGATTTCCTGTGTGAAATTAACACTTTCTCCCTGCATCTCCCATCCCTTGTGGTACATGCACAGAAATGCAGCCTCCTGCCTCTTGGGCTGGATTTTGGGAGCCAGTGTTCCCATGGTGGTGGCTGTCAGGGACATGAAGAGCTGGGGATGTGATGAACGTTACACCTTGAGCATAAACAACTCGCTCGCTTGTTCACCTTGTAGTAACGTTGTCTAGACCGTTTCCTTTGGTGGCTGCATGAGGCAGGGTAACTCAAGTGAAGATGCAGCACATCTGTGACTTCTCTTTCCTAGGTGCCAGGCCAGCTGCCTTATCAAAGAGAGAAACGGAGCTGGATAGACACGGCTTGTTTTTGTAAGCCTGTACTGCTTTAGGATCATGTGGGCCTTTAAGATTAATTAATGCTGTATTTGGGTGTCTCCCTAGATATTGGTAAGAGGTTCTCTGGCCCTCTGGGCCCTCTCCTGTCCCTTGCAGTTCATGCAGTCGCCCACTGACAGCCATTTGATTGGTTTCTTGAAGGCTCCAGAGTAAACTTTACTTGTCCCTGCTGACTCTGAATTCCTCTCATCTCTCTTAACTATTGTTTAAGCTGCTCTCTTCCTCATCTGGCCTGTATTTCCTGTCTCTGGTTGTTACTGTGAAATGTGTTAATAAGCATCTGGATGCCATTAACATATTCTGTGAGAACAGAAGCAGGATAAAAAGTGGAAATTGCAGACAAAGCCTATGCAGAAGTAAATCTGTGTTCTTTTGTGTTTGCACCAGGAGCAACCTCCCAGAGGAAGGCATCTTGCACCCTTATCGTGCTTCTGAAACAGACCACTAGCACTGATTAATACCAGTAAGGTAGGTGTAAAAACACAGCATGGACAAGGGAGTTACCATGTGGTAGTAAGAAATGCTTCCACAGGATCCAGAGGGTATTAGAAAGAGCTTGGTGTGCCTGTGGTCATCTCAGTAAGACACATCCCTATAAGCATTCCTGTTCTGGCTCTTCGAGCAGGGAATAACAAGGGGAAGGACAGAAGAGTGCTGATCACTTTTCTCCTTTCTTTTCAGGGCTGGGTGAATCCACAGAGTGTATGCGAGGCTCTTTTGAACAGTCACCAGCAGATGAAGTAATTGGAGGCCTCACCCACAGCACAGTTTATTCAGCCAGCTGCTGTAGGTCTTCTAACAGAGTTGCTTTTTAATATGCACAAACATCTCACTAAGTCAAGCACTGAAAAATGTCACTTTGATTTTGACATGCTGCCCACAAAGTATGATGTGTTTTCTGTTGTGTGCTGTTGTCAAGGTGAAGAAATGCACTAACGTGGGGTTTTAATTACTTTGATTTCAAGCTCTGATACCAGCTGTAAGGGAAACATCGCCCTAGATGAATAAAGAGATGGTGCAACAGCTGATCAGGCCTCTGGTGAGGAGCCAAGCACTTCTAATGCAAGGAGGTGATTTCAGTCTTGTTTCAATCTCTAGTTTCTTCGATCCTGTTACTCAGTTCCTACAGAGGCTTCTGCTGGGCGCAAGCAAACACCAGGAGACAAGAAAAGACATGTATTGTCTGAAATGCAGGTACCCTTCGTCTCTGGAAATCCGGGGAAAGGCTGCCATCTGCTGTAATACAGCGCGGTTGCTGGAAATAAATCCGACCTAAATCAAATCATAGTAGTCACGTTGAAGCTGTGGTGGGCTTAGGGTAGAAGCAGGGTTAAGACAAGCAAAGACAAACTGTGTGCTTAAAATGCCTGTTGACGCTTTCCCCACAGATCACTCTCCTAATAATGGCTATTGCCTATCCCTACAAAATCATGCCCTTAGAGGAAAAGTATTAGTCTTGTGGTCCCCACCTGCTTTAATCCCTGGGATTCCCAGTCAAGGTCAGAGATAGTGGAGTAGTCTGCTGCAAGGGGACAGTGTGTTGCTCCCTCAGTTCAGTCTGGGTACCCAGGTGCTTCTAAAGCCTCTCAGCTGTACAATTACATAATTCATAAAGGTATGTGTTTTTCTTCACAGTGGTATGTGTGTGATATCTAAGATAGCAGCAAGTTAGCTTGGCCACTCCTGCATTTCTTGGTTGGGATTCTATGGCTGTATCCTCTACCTGTGGACCTTGCAACCTAGAGGAGCACCAAGCCTAGAAAACCATCTATAATACAGGGCCTTTATTTCTGATCTTTAAACCAAAATCTGTACTGAACCCTGTGGTAAAACTAGAATCTAATTAATACCTCTGAAAGTCCCTAAAAACCCAGCCTTGCATGCTTGGTACCTTCTTTAGACATCACCAACTTGGTTTGCTCTTTCTGTACTACTTAATCTTTTTCAGTCCACATCATCACTTGCTTTGAACGTGCACATCTTGACTCGCAAGTAATCTCAGAAAGAAGAGTGTTTAGTTTGCCTGAGTAAAGATAGAGGGGTCAGAAAGAATTGTTTCAAATAAACAAGTTAGCATGGGAAAAGGTGGGAATAAAGGACAGGAGCTCCTGACACCCTGCTAGTTTTGTAAATGAAACTTACTGCATGGCTATGGCACGGGAACTCCAGCAGGGACATGTTCCTGGGGTCCTTTAAGGATCAAACACCTCTCACCCATGCTCAGCTGAAAAGGATGCACATAGGAGATGCAGTTTTTGTCCATCCCTCTGCCAAGTGGTGCCAAATACATTAAAATTCAGTAAAGTCAGGATGGTTTGCTGCTTCTGGGATACCAGGATGGTTGGAAACAGTGAGGTCTGCCAAGGAAAATCACTGATTTTTGGCTGTGTTTTGTTACAGTGGTCAGGAGGTCTAAGATCATATATTGCTGAAGAGATGGTCAGCTCAAGATGGTAGGTACTCAAGCCTACATGGTGGAGATGGATGGAGGGAAGCCAATAAAAAAGAGGTAAGTATTTGCCAGCAGTACAAAGGTGTGGATAACGCTGGTGAAAACACCCAGGATGTGATGTAGGCAGAAAAAAGACATGAGAGAGAGAGAGGAGCTTCTTCAGGAGTATCTCAAAAAGCAGCAGGATTAGAGAATGAGTCTACAGGCTGTGAAAGGAGAAGACTTACATAGATCCAGCAAAGCTGGAGGGCTGAATCCCTGTGGATGATTCAAGTAAATGCTAATGGTGAATTCCATATGCATCAGATACACCTGGTCTCTACACAGTGATTCTTTGCTGCCCAACAGGGGAATCTGTTGTGTTTTTCAGTAACTTCCCATGTTGCTGTTTAATTTAAAAGGGAAGCTCAGAGTCCATGGTTGATGATATTGGAGTTGCTGCTCGGACCAGACTGTTTCCCATTACACTTCCCTGAAAGCATCCCACTAGAATCCCTCCTTTTGTAATGTTAGGGTGGCAGTGGCCGAATTCAAAGGGAGTGCTGCACATAACAAAGCTAGCCTGGAAAGCTGACATAAAAAAGCCAGAGGCCCTGATGACTCAGGTATTAATGTACTCCACTTCATCAGAACAAGCTGCATCTGATAAACTGTGCTCACTCCAGATACAGAAGCAAGAGCTTTTAATTTGATGCAGCCTCTCTACTGGAGACTGACAGTACCAAGAAGAAACTGGGTTAAACGCAGATACATCTGCAGCATGTCTAATGTGCTGAGGAATGTCTTAGAGCCAGAAGGAGCTCCACTACCACTGCAGATATGGAGGAATAAATGTTGTAGCATTTAGGAACAATGGGAGAGATTTAGCATCCCTGCTTTATGGGCCGCCTTCATGTTGTGACAGTGTCTTGGTGGTGTCTGCTAAGAAACTGTCCTAGACAGAGCTATTAACCTCCACTACCCTGATACAGCCACTTTTCCTTCCTGCAGTCCCCTTCTTCTCACACTTTGCACGCCCTGGCATGCAGTAGTGGCCCAGCTCATTCTGATCACTGAAGGAAAATGGGTATTGTCCTCCAGTGTTAGACCAGGCAACCATCCTGCCCTGTATCTTGCTTCTAGCAAGGATGCAGCATGTCAGGTGGTGGCCTGTTAGCACAGAGGTGGGCCAGCCATCTGTCTTCTCTACTTGGGTCTGATCCTGAGCTCTAATAGCTAGCATTTGGTTCAAAATTGTCATCTGTGTTAATTTTGAAAGCCCCTAGTGTTGCTCTATGAAACTGCCAACCTGTTCTATGTCTTTCTAAGCCCCTGTCTTGAAAGGTTTCTTGTGGCTTTGAGCACCACGCTCCACTTACACACGCTACTGGCATGAAAAATTCAGTCTTAATATCCCTTCACATCACTGAAGACAAGAAGAGCAGAAACTCCCCATCTGCTCTCTCTGCAGTGTTATTTTATATATTTCTTTTATACCCTTTGCTTCCTCCAAGGAGAGCTTTTCCTTGATCTTTGGTCGTTCTTGTCATTGTTTAATGCTGCTCTTTTAGAGACAAGATTACCCACTACACAAAGTGTTCCAGGGGGACCTGCCCCTCTAATTACATTTAATCATCATTTTCCCTCATATTCCCTACGGATCCAAATACCTTGTTCATTTTTTTACTTGCAGTTCAAGCTGAGCAAAGGTTTTCTGTGAAAGCTTCTGAAGGCTCCTGATACCAGAACCCTGCAAGCAAGGACCTTCTAAAAATACCACAGCATCCCAGGAAAGGAGCCCAGATATTACTAGAGATAACCCAGCTTTTACAATAGTTGGCTACTAGTTCTGCCATTGAGCAATAATACGCATTTCCTCACTTTTTATTGTCTCTTGCATTCTCTCGTATGTGGGAAACACTGAGCTACTTTGTTCTTTTTACTGCTTATTTTCTACATCGCAAAACCCACTGTTTCCCTTCTTTCTTTTCCAGGAAGACTTCTGAACCAGAATGAGTGTAGGAAAAAACCCTGTCATTTTTCTGTTGTTCTTCAAGAATGCCAATTTAACTCACAGAGCTGAAAAAGTAGCAGTAGAAAATTTTTCCTGGCTAAAACTGCTGGGGATTGGACTTGTTTACCTAGGAGAGACTTTGTAGGACTATGTCCCATATGCACAGGAATAAGGATGTTTGTCATTTCATATCACCGGGGCACTGTACCACGCTGGCAGCGCTGAGTCACGCTTCCCTGCAAAGCCAACGTGGCCCTTGGCAATCAGAAGGAAGCAGAGGTAACTGAAACGCTGCAGTCAGAAGGCTTACCATAAAAGCATACTTCATGGAAACAAGTTGTACTTGAAGAGGTGGACAGACAACACATCAAGTGAACTATGGTTGACTGACTCACAATTTTCTCACCCAACTCTGCTGGTAAACCAATGGCCATTCTTATCTGCAAAGAACCGTCAGCGCATTCAGGCTGCAAATATGAGAGTTCACAAGAGCAGACAGGTTGTGTGTCTTGGGGGAGTTTAAGCCAGCCTTTCTTCTCAAAGTCACTAGAAATCACGCACCGAGTATCCTACGGATCCAGGGGGAGGAGGTATCTTGGTCTGGACTGGCGTTGTTACTGCTGCTGTGGTGTTTAGCCAAAAGATGACAGTCAGAAAAGCAAGCAGTGGGAGGGAACTGCACCTCTGTCAAACTTTCCTTCTGGTCCACAAATATTATGCAGCATTAGTTTATTCTTCTCAAAAGGAACAGAGGGCTTTGCTGTTAATACAAAATGCAACAGAACAGTAACGTTAACTCAGAGATAACGTCAGTGAAGCACAAGGTAGAAAATCAAACACGAAATCAAACAATTTGTTACTTTCCCTGTGTGAGCGGGTAACAAGGCTCTCTTCATTGCAACTGGGAAATATTAAAGGTCATGGGAGGGGGCATGGCTAAAAGGTCACTTTGAGGGTATGGCTTTCCCCTGTGTCTCTGGCAAAATTAATCACCGCGGTTTTGAACATGCCTCTTTGGTGAAAGAGAAACACAGACCTGAGGTTTTCAGCCAGATCAGTACTTCCTGGGTAAATGTCAACTGAGCGCTAAGTCCAGCTCTACATAAAGGTCATTTCATGCTAAGTGAGTGATGCAGAATTCCTTTTTAAAGCTGCTCTGAGTAATCAATTGAGATTAACCTGGCAGGATGTCTCCCAGACTTGGGTGAAGATGGTTCAAGATCAGAGTTCTGAATCCCAGCAGCTGAGTGTTGAGGTCAGTCCTACACAGCTGGATTTGGCCCCAGCTCTATTTGTAAACCAGGATCAGACACACTGCAGTGTCAAGTGTGTCAGCCTATGATTCATCCAAGTGAGGCACAGAAAATAGTATCCACACTGCAGAACTCACCTTCAGCCTCAAGCTGACCCGCAGGGCTGGTGAGGGGAAACCTGATCGATCACTGAGGTTGTGGGAAGGGCACTCCCTTCACAACTAGCATCTGTAGTTAATAACCACCCATAGCACTCCTCTTCTGGGGATTCCTTTTCTTTTCCCCTTTCCCCTCCTTTCCTATCCCCTCCCATCTGTCTCTTTGCCAGTGTAAAGTGGTTATGCAGATACTCCTAGGTCCCTTTCCAAAGTCAGGCTGCTGGAAGCAAACAATGAGTGTGATTGGGGCAAACCCAAACTTTCCATCTCACTGGTGAGTGCTTGCAGAAGCCGTGGGGACACCCCCACCCAGCTGGCAGCAACGATGAGGCAGCAGGGCAGGAACGCCAACCTCAGCCCACACGGCTGAGGACATTCGTCTGACACAACACTAAGTAACACAAAGCAGAACCGTGGTGGAGGACAGGGCTGACACAGCCTCCATCCCTCCCACAGCCTCTGTGATTTCATTGACTTTATCCATGTGAGAAAATTCTGCAAACTCAGTCTTTCTGCAGTCTGGATCTATACACCCTGATCAGTTTTATGTTATGCCCATGATCTCTCACTTTATTGCAGCTGTGCCTTGTTGTAGCGGTTAGAAGACAGACTGCAACTAATGTGATCCCCAAGCAAAAAGAAACAACCCAAACCCACCACACTTTCCCCATGAGAAACACGTTCACTGTGTCTGCAGTCTGAGCGCAGTTAAGATTCATGGACAAAGAGGTTTCTGCCAGGTAGTGGAAAAGATGCTATGAAAAAATTGTGAGTGACATTTGCAGGTTGTGCAGAGAAATTCCCATTGGCTTCCTAACAAGCATTTCATATTTAACATGGGTTTTTTTACTCCTTTGCTGTTCCAGCTTTCAGTAAATCCTGTTTGAGCTGTGCTGAGCTCTTATTAATTCCAACACCTCAGTAAGCCAAAGACGGTATTTCGAAGCATGAGAAGGTACATCTTTATTTTCTAAAGCTGTCTAGGAAAGGTACAATGGATGTAAAGAGGGTGCAACAGTGGTGGTGATGATCACTGATGTTAAAGCCAACAGTTATGAAGTAATGGCAATATTCAACTAGTATTTCTTTCTGGTCGTGCCACATTTTCTGCTCTTTAAGCTCATTGTATAAACCTCTTGCTGGGTAAGATGAGATCAGATTTCATTGCAATTTCACATGCAAAGCAGCAAATGGAGCTATTTCAGCTTACACCAGTGTCTCCCAGACCATCACACACACATGTGATCAGCAGTCAGCAGGCCAGGCTGAGTAGCCTTCAGTCTGCATAGGAGCACATTAAGCTGTGCTTTCAATAAGCTTTGCAATGAAAAGCTTGGTGCTGCATGAGCTGCGAGCCACGGGCATTGTAAAAACAGCCAGGGATATTCTGATGCAAAAAGCTTGGGATGCACAGCAGCAGTTTTCCCTCTCCAGTTGTGGTTTTAGGGCGTTAACACGAATCAACAATAGCAACAACAACAAAAACACCCAAACCTCCATCTGGGCATGAAATGACCACTTGCAAACAGGGCTGGAATGTTGTGACTATTGGAAAACAGCTGTCCTCATGCTGTAAATAAAAGGGATTTGAAGGTACTCCCTGTGCCCTCAATAAATGGTGATGTTGCACAACTAGGGCTGCAAGATGTGCAAGCTGAGGCTGTGATTATCTCAGGGAAGTGTCCTGGGCTGGTCTCCCCATGTTCATGCTTTTCCATGTGGGTTGTGGGTGAGTTTTTTTGGCTTTGTAGCATCAGGCCTTCTGGGCCTTGCCGATAGGCAAGTGAGAGGGAAGGAATTGCATGGTTAGGCATCTTAAGATCCCTATTTGTGCCCCATGCCATTACTCAATATTTCACACTCTTGAAACGTGGGGCCCATTGGTTCACCCAGATGTGTGGCGGCCTGAGAAAGTGAAATTAAGCAGTGAAAGCAGGAAAAAAGCAGCCAGAAATTCCCATTGGCAAATGATAATGAAATCCTCCAACCTACTTCTATGAAGTGTTCCTTTCTGCAGTGTCCTAAGGTCTGCAGAGCTAACATCAGACTTGCGCTCCACAACCCCCCAGGAAGATAACTGTGTTCTGGGTAGGACAGCAGCTCCTACAAATAGCTGTGACTCAAGAGGTTCCATGGTCTGGGTCCAAAAGCCGTGACAGCCTAGTGCTCGGGTCCATGGGAACGTGAGGTGGGAGAGTGGTCCCACTGGAAATGGCAGCCGAGGTGTGTGATACCAGCAGCAGTACACTGGTGTGACTGCCTGGGTCAGTCTTGCAGCTGGAGGCAAAGCAGTAGCAAAGGAGCCTTGAAGTGACACAGAGGCCACACAGTTTACACTGTGAGCGCAACATCCACGCACCTGAAGCCACAGCCTCTACTGCGGGATGTACAATGGTTTGCTTGCTGATGGGTCTATGCTTTGAATGGGCCAAACCTGGTTATCCCTTGGGATCAACCTTCCACAGGCTGTGGTAAAGATGCTAGTGCATATCTTTAGCCTGATGCAGCCTTTTGGCATGCTGCAAACTGAGTCTGACGGGAGCAATGAAATAGGATACTGCAACCACAGTATGCAGCCTCCTCAAGTCAGTGTCTGGAACAAAGCAAATAATGTCCTTAATGCGGGGCTGTGTGGGGAACAAAGTGTTTCCACAGTTCTCTTGTACTTTCTTCCTGGTATTTGTTTATCTTATGTGTGTAAGCATGTATTTCTTCTGCATCTACAATTCATTCCTTCTCTTGCAAACACCCCAGCCTGCTGCGCTGGCGACTGGCATGGGGTCAGTATAGGTGTCAGCAGCTTGCTGTTGCTATTAGTACATTAGTGACAAGAGACAAACTTAAGACAGGAGCCTGCTGTCTGACAAATGAGTGTCCCAAGCTAAAGGGTGAACATAGGTCAGGTCAGACACATCTCTCAAGGAGGCCATTGTAGAATCCATGTGACTCCCAAGCACCTGATCCCAGTGACAGTCCAAAGTCTGCAAAACAAGTTGTACCCAACAAATGTCTGTCAGCATCAGCTACCGAGGAGCAAAAAGCCATCTCCAGCCCAGCTGGGGTGATACCAGTCTGCCTGGTGTCAGCACAGGGGCAGGCACAGAAATGAGTTAGCAAGATGCAAGCCAGGGTGTGAACCTGTGGATTTCCACATACGTGGCCCATACCCACATACTCATGTGTCTCTGGTCATCAACACCAATGTAATTATTGCTGTTAATTAATCAGAGCCTCCCTGTCTTGTGATACCTTTTGTTGACTAACACAGTGCTATGGCTGAGGATTTAAGAGCACTGAAGGTACAATCAGGTTCTGCTTACTGGGACCTAACTTACCTATTTCAGCATCTTCTGAAGCCTGATGGAGAATTGAGCCTAAAATGTGAGTCTGAATAACAAGTTACCAGCCAGGGACTGCCGAGTACAACCCCTGGTTAGAGTCTCTGAGCAAGACCATGGCCACTTGGCACAACCTCCCCACCACTGCACTCTGCGGTGGCAGCGACCAAAACCCATGGAGGAGCAGCTGCCACCACAGAGCCTGGCTGCTGCGGCCCACTGCTGGCACGGAGGGAGCCCGCAAGGCCTCCACGGCCCTAAGGAGACCCTGCTCCCCCACCGGGGCCATCTGTGGCACCCGTCACACTCTGCTGTGGAAGCACCTCGGCTGTGGGGACCCTCAAATGGTGGTGCTTTGGCCACGGGGCACTTGTGCGGCCTCTCAAATGGCGGCGCCCCGGCCGTGAGGCACAGCGGAGCCCCTCGCCCCCGGAGACGGCGGCGGGCCCCGTCCCCACCTCAACCCTGCAGCTTCCCCGGGACGGGCCCAGCACCAAGACCCACAGCCGCTCCAGCAGAGACGCAACCATCAACCCAGCGCGCCCGGACAGGGGCAGCCCCTTCCGCCGGCCGCGGCGGCGGCTCCTCCCCCGGGCGGCGGGGAGAGGCGGTGCCTCGGCCCCTCCCGCTGCCGCCGCCGCTGCTGCTGTTGCCGTCGCCGCCCGG